TATTTGCTCATGTTTTGAATGTTTTAGTCTACTAGCAGTCTCTTAGGTTATGTGCCAATTAAATAACTCCATTCATTATGCAGAAACCATATAGGATAGTTCATTATCCCCCAACCAGCCTCTGGGCGTGTGTACAAAACTGTATCAAAGAGCATCAGTTAACAAAAATAATATCAAAAGAGAAAATGCAGTTGCTACAGGGTGTTGATCAGCTGCACTATCCTGCCCAAGAGACGGCTCCAGACCAGCCCTGTAAGACCCCCATGTACCTTTTATGCAATTTACAATTTATGAGTGTTAATTACCGAGTGTTTGTAAAGAGCTTTGCAACACTTGGGTGAAAGATGGTGCAGGAACTTTCGTAATGATTATTAATCACATCATTTTCTCGTGGCTCAAGCACCGAGGGCAGGACAGTTACATGGCAGAGGGGTGACACGGGGATGGCAGAGGAAGAGCTGCAGCTGCCTCCTGTGATCCCTGCACCTCCTGCAGGGATTGTTTTGGGATTCTCGTGGTGTTTTGTTAATTGGGCCCATGGAACAAGGTCCTGGGGATCGAGCCCAGAAATGTCATGGCATAAAACACCTCGCAGAGGAACTGGGCTGAGAGTTGTATGCTTGGAAAGGTAATTCCTGCCTGGTATGGAGCACTAAATCCCACAGGAAAGCGACTCAGTTTGTGTCTCTCCCTTCTCACCATTGCTGGAGTTCATGGCACTCACGGCAGATTCCCAGGAAAAGGCTGGATGGTTTGCTGCACGGATCAGGTATGGTTTGGGGAGAGCTGCTCTCTGGGTCCGTGTCTCAGTTTCCTCATACACAAACCAGAATTTATAATAACACTCTTTATACAGTGTTTGCAAAGCATTTATATGAGAGCTCTGCTCCTCAGAGATCAACCTGAGTGCTGAGTTATAATGACAAACGTCCTTGGTGGCTGAGGAAAGAGCAGATTTGCCTCGGGAGGATAATTAAGAGGATTTTTGTGGCAGGATCCGGGACGCAGACGGAACTGACTTATCAGACAGCAATTGCCAGGACCCGGCAGTGTCCCCACGTCCTGACGGGCGCTATGCAGCCTGGCAGGGATTTCTGGTGTGTCCTGGTGGTTTGGGATGGAATGACGGAGCTGCCACATTCCTGCAGCAAACGAGGCACCGACCGGGGCCACGATGTGCCCTTGGCATGAGGGACCAGAGCTGGGGCTGCAGAGCCCACAGACCCTGGGCAGGGGTCGGATGGGGGCCGGAGCTGGCCATCCGTCCCCGTGTCCGTCCCCTCTGCTGCGGCCTCTGTGGCCAAAGGGGACATTTTGGGCCACATCTCAGAGGTCTCCAGATTCTTTGCAGGGCACTTGGCTCTCGTGGCCCTGCTATGACACTTGCCCGCTGTCACCTCCCCTCAGGGCCATTGTCCCCAGCCCTCAGGATCACTGTCCCCTGCCCTCAGGGCTCTCCCCTGCCCTCAGGACCATTGTCCACTGCCCTCAGGACCACTGTCCTCTGCCCTCAGGGTTATTGTCCCCTGCCCTCAGGGCTCTCTGTCACCCGCGCCCACGGGACGCGCCCGAGCTGCCGCAGCGTCCCCAGGTCACCTGTGCCCTCAACCAAGATGGCAGCCCCCGCCTCCCCCGGCCCGGCGCCCCTAGCCCTGATCAAAGATGGCCGCCTCTCCTCCCTTACCGCTGTGGACCCTTGCCCTCACCCAACATGGCCGCCGCGAGCCATCCCCCTTTTGGCCGTCTCGCCCGACGCCGCGGCGGCCATGTTGCGTGCGGGCGCGTCCCGCCGTGCCGCGCGGCCACGCTGGGCGGAAGTGGGCGCGGGGCGGTTGTTGACAACATGGCGGCCGCGGGCGCCGCCGCGGGAGGAAGAGGCGGAGGGAGCGGTGGCGGCGGGCGGGGGCAGGAGCCCCATTCATAGGGACCGGCCCGCGCCCTCCCTGCCTCCCACCTTCCCCCGGCCCGCCGGCCGCCGAGCCCCCCCTCCCCGGCGCTATGTCCTTCTTCAGGAGGAAAGGCAGGGGGGCGGCGGCGGGCGGGCGGCCGCCGGGCTCATCCCCCGCGCGGCTGCCGGGCCCCGGCCCTGCCGCTCCGGCCGCGGTGAGCGGGCCCCGCGAGGACGGCCGGGCCCTGCGGAGCGGGCTGGGCGGGAATGACGGTGAGTGTCTTCCCCGGGGGTGGGGGGGCTCTGAGGGGATCGCGGGGTCTCGACCCCTGGTGAGCAGCTGCGAGCGCGGACCCGGGCGGAGAGGGGCCTGTGACACCCCCCACACCTCCCGCGGGCTCTGAGCCTTTTAGCAGTTTACAGGTAATTTTGTCACAATGCTGACGTACGTGGGTTTTTACAAAAATACAGTAGGCTAGAAATGTACGGCGGCGGCTGAAAACCCCAGTTAAAAAGGGAGCTCATCACACCGAGCTCTTTGTGAAAGCCAGAGGAGTCACTGGCAGGTTATTTTGTCGTTGGTTTGTTATGGAGCACAAGATTGGAAATTTAGGACTCCTGAATTATTTATAACGCTCCAATGGCACAAATGGATGTGGTGTAAGTGTTGTTTGAGAGTGGAGCGTTTTGAGGGCGCTTGTGCTCGTTCTGCAGTGAGGGGCACTGTGCTTTCAGTCCCCACAGCTGTGGTTTGGGTGGTTTTTATAGAAAGTGGCACCTTTTAGGAAGGGCCTCTTGGGACAGTTCTGTCACCTCGTGACTCTGTAGCTCAAGCAGTGCAACCATTGATCTTTGCCAGTGGCTGATGCAGCGCTGTCCTAAAGCCTTTCTCGATTACTGAACCCAAAATGCACATCTTGGGAGGGAAGAACGTGGTACCTGAGGTGGTGATGTTGCTCTTGGCTGACACGTCCTCTGGGGCTTGCTCAGCCCAAGTAGCAACGCTGAAAATGTCATTCCTTGTGGAGGTTAGTTCTGGAAGAAATGAGTCTAAACTGTTCTTATCAGCAGATACGAAGACTCTGGAAGTCCACTGAGGGCTTTGCAAGTGCCATAATCCTTTTTGGAGTGCTTACATTCAAACATTGAGCTGCAGAATGAAACTTTCATGGTGGTTATAAACTCTTCAGAAACAGCTTTTGCTGCTTCATTGGTGGGAATTGTGGAGCTGATGTTCCATCCTGGTGTGTGATCATAGGGACAAGGTCAGCTTGGGTGGAAACTTTCTCAGGGAGAAAGGAATGAAATGTCTGATTATCTGAGATGTGTAATTGAGGATCTGTGTTCCTTTGATTAAAGGATCTTTGGTCAGAGAAGCAAATCAGCACTAAATGCCCGAGAGAGATGCTGTGAAGGAGAGAAGGGGAGTAACCTTTCATCTGGGCTGTACATAAATACTGCTTTGTGTGATCTCCATTTTTAGATTTGGCTTTTAGAGAAGATTTAAACTGCAGCTGGGAGAAAAGCAGCACTTTAAAGCTTAGGATAAAACTGTAGACCCACGCAGTCCGAAAAACATACAAGCACCAGGGTTCTTGGGGTGAGCTGTCGTCGTTTAAGAGGATATTGCACTGGGTAAAAATTAGAACTATTTTTAAATTAATTCATGACAAGGATCAAAAAACAAGAGTGAAATGTTTTTATAGCTCGGGCTGTAAAATAAAGGCCTGGGAGACTGAGGGTGGATAATGGGTTGAGAAATCAAAGTGTAACAGTTGAAGCAGCAGCCGGGCGCTCGAGGGCAGGTTATGAAACTGCTGCCAGTGGATCAGACGGGTGACACGCTCATCCCTGGGGACACCTTGGGAATAACGTGCAGCCCCGCTGGTTGGCCAGTCCTGGGAGGTTCACACTGGTTTTTGTGCACTGTCTCCTGGGTTTGTTCATTCTGGAGCATTTCAGGATGCGAATTGAAATTCCCGAACCGTCACGTGAGGGTTTGGCGCGTGACCCCTTTGGAATGGGGTTGGCTGCTGGAAATCTCACACACCCTCGGCCCTTGGTTTCACACAGACACCACGGGACATCCGCTTTTTGAGGGAAGTGAAAGTAAATTCAAGTAGTGAAACCTCACTCCCTGAAATTTGATGTTGCCGTAGATAGGAGTTTGCTTTGTCCTCTGGAGTTAAGGACATTCCTTTGTGGGGCTCCAAGCTGCTGGGGACAGAGGCAGCCTGTGTGTAAGGGGTTTGGAGCTGGAACCTGGAGTTTGTATTACCAGTAGTAAGTAGGTAATTAGAGAGGAACTGAATAGCTGGTAAGAAGGAACAGGCCTATTTAGGCTGAAAATAGGCTTATGGAGGGCTCTTGTGTGAAACTCGGGAATTACTGCTGATAGTTAGGAATGGGTTTGATGAAATACTGGAATAATTTTGGAAAGAGAAGGGTTTGTAGTACTGTGTAGAGGTTGCTCCGTTCCCTTTGTGCCTCAGTGCTACCTCAGACCTGCAGATTTTCTCAGGGATTTCTCTCCCGCCCATCAGTTCCCAGTTATGTAAAGGCTGGTTACTCTGTCACAGCTGCTTCCGGGCGGCAGGAGGTCAGTTTGTGAAGAATCCGCCTCTTTTAATGGACACTTAAATGTCTCTGTCAGAGAACGTGCTCGCTGGTAGCTTGAATTTTAAACCCCGAGTTGCCAGTTTGCAGCCCTGCAGCTTTTCTCCTCGCAGGGAGGGCTGGCAGGCAGCGCTGCAGCCACCCGGGCAGGGCAATTATGTAACCGGAGACTGGAGATTCCCTTTAAAATATTTAAAATCCCTAAGTCAGGATAGGAAGGGGTTGGGTTTTGTGTTTTTTGTTGGGTTTTTTGTTTGGTTTTTTTTTTTTTTAATCTGCTCGTGTTTTGTGATGTAAATGTGGTGATTGTGCTGGGCTGTGAGTTGTGGTTGTGTTTGGAAGGACTCCACAGTCGCTGTTCAGGGATGACCTATTTGTAGTCAATAATCCTCGCCTGGAGCAGTGAGAGAAGGTTTCTGTGGTAGATCACGTTCTCCAATATCACCACTTCATTTTTCCCCCCTGTTTATGCCATCCTGTTTATGTATTGTGTTTATGTACTGCTTGGGTTCCTTTATTTTTGTTTTAAACAGATCTCCTCATTCACTTCCTTTCGGAGCTTCCTTTAAAAAAATAATAATATTTTTTTTAAACATTCCCCCAAACACTCTTCCATCACAGCTTTTTAAACTGTTATCTCCCCATCAGTTGCTTGCCCGAGCTTTGGTGATGGTTAAGCAATACTATTTGTGAGAGAATTAAGTATTGGCAGTGTGTTTCCAGAACATTTCCGTGGTATCCATCATGACTGAGGAGTCAGGAGGCTCTAGCTTTGTGGAGCTGGTTCCATGTCATCTCTTCAGTGGTGTGAGTTGTGCTGCTCCTCCTATAATAGGAGGGAGATGTTTTTAGGTGTGTGATTTCTATTTCATAGAGTGCATCAGCCAGTGCCCTGAACTTAAAACACCCCTTTCCCATTCTTCCCCGAGCCTGGCTTTAATTCTATGGACAGCAGACATCTTCCTCCATGGTAATTTTAACATAATATTAATTCATGGATGATAAGATTTTCCTTTTGAAAATAAACCAACAGGAAAGCTTTGAAAGCCTCTGTCAGTTACTGGGTGTGCAGATTTAAGGGAGAGATCAGTTTTAACAAAAGCATGGCTTACATCTACCTCTGAGACTTGCTGAAGTTGGGAATTCTGTGTCCATTCTCAGGTAAATGCCACTAGTCACCCAAAATAGCATTAACATTTTCCCTTGTATTTTACAGTGAAAGGCAAAGAACAAGAAAACACCACAGATGTGAAAGCAATTAAAAGTAAGATCAATATTTTGTCTATAAATTCAGATCTCTCCTGTCATCTGCCATTTTTACCTTACCCAGCAGGATCATTTCCTTACACTGAGCGCAGATTTGACCTGTGCATCAAACCCAAAACAAACCCAAAACTTAATTCTGTTTCTGAGTATTTATAGTAACTAATCTCTCCTACTCATCTTGCTGAATCTGTAGGTGCAGAGGGTTATTAAATTATGTCAGCCATGAGCTTTAATTCAAAGTGATCAGGCAAGTCGGTCACCTTGTGCATGGTGGTTATTCCTTATCTGCAACAAATTGCTCCTGCAGTTTCTTGCTCACACATGGTGTCCTTTGGAGTTTGGAAAATGCAGCTTCACTGTGTCTGCAGGATATGATTTAACTCTGTCTGATGTGGCTTGTGAGGCTGAAGATGCAAATCCTGGTGAGAAGGAATAGCTGTTCTGCTGCCGCTCCTCCCATGTGGTACAAAGATCTTGCTGCTAAATCTGTTAGAAAAGGGAAAAAAGTCATGATGGAAAAGAAATGTATAAACTCTGGGAAAACAAGTTTGCTTATCCTGTCAGTTTTTCTTGTAGTACTAAAAGGAGATGAGGTAAATGCATGAATCTGATCTGTTACTTTTATACCCTCAGACAAAATCCTGTTTCTGTACTTGTTAATGTGTTATCTGCATATCAAGACAGAAATAAAGACTTTTTCACCTTGGTGGTCTCTCAAATCAAATATGGGAAACAGTAAGTTGTGTATGACATGATGTGGTGCTGTCCTGAGGCTTCGGAGCAGGTGTTTGACCCTTAGATAAAGTAGAATAATTTTTTCTCAGATGTCCATCATACAGAATTAAACTTGAATCTAATTTACAAAAGCCCGGAGCATTGTGAGGAGTGTGGCTCTGGTTCTACATGAGTAGCCTCCACCAAGTTCTCCCATTGCTGCCCTCCCTTGGCCTTGGAAAAAAAGGTATTTTCTCCATCATTGCTGGTATGAAATACCAAAGGCTTTGTAAGAAGCAGCAAGTGGTGTCTTGGTACCAAACACTTCACAGTAACTCAAATGTTTTAACCCTCCTGTACCGTTGCTCCTGAGGGATCTGTTACCTTGACATGCAAGTCTGAAATTGTCGACTTCTGCCAGCATGTGTCATAAAATTGGGAGTAAAAATAAAGTGACGCATCATGGAAGTCATAAACCCCAAGTTTCTTGACACCTTGATGAAACACATCACTGGGAAGTGGTGTGCTGAGATAAGGTGTCATCTGACGTGCTTTATTTTTGAGTCAGAGGTGTAAGATGTCCCTGCATGACATCCCAGTCTAAGGCAGCTTCCTGAGAGCTTTGGAAACTGCTGTGAACGTGTTTTGTTATTTTCAGCTTTGTCATCAGTTGACAATTAGTTGATGCCTTTTCGCTGGCAGAGGTTTGTGAGAGGAAGTTCTTCTTTGTTCTAACACCCAGTCATGTCCTAAAACAGCCAGAGGGGGTTAAGCTCACGTGGGTTTCACAGAGGTATTGCCTTTTTGCTTTTTTTCCTCTTAGAACCAAGTGGAGACAACAAAAATATTTTGAAAAATCCTCGTGTTAAAACTCACAGGTAGCTTTGTGGTTCAGGGGTTTGTAACACAGCTTAGCCTTCAAAAAGGCGTGGGAATGGATTGGCAGGAGCACTGGAATGAAACCGAATTGTTGACAGAGTATTGAGCTGTTACGATAGTGGTTATCAAAGAGGCAGGAAGACTCAGGAATAATATTTCATGTGTGAACTTAGACTTGGCCTCTCTTGCTTTGCTGCTGAATAAGGAAAATCGATTTGGGTGGGAGTGAATTTATTCTTGCTGTAATAAAACTCGAGGTCTTCCCTCTTGTCAGAGCCTTGATCAAAGATAACACACAGTGGTACAATGAGGTTTTAATAAGGCTGAATCTTGCAAACTCCCTGGCTCATTTTGGGGTGCTTAGCATTGGGTTCTGTTTAAAAGAGGCCTTGGGGTCCTTGTGTTTTAATCGTTCCTGTCTTGATTCCAGCTCCAATCCCAGTACATTCCCCTCAAAGAAGCACTAGAAATCATGCCTTGCTGGAGGCTGCAGGACCAAGCCATGTGGCCATTAATGCCATCTCTGCCAACATGGACTCTTTTTCCAGCAGCCGGACAGCTGCCCTTAAGAAGCAGCCAAGTCACATGGAAGCTGCTCATTTTGGAGACTTAGGTAAGGCCTCATCACCTCTGGAATAATGTCAGCATTTCTTTTTTAATTCTGGTATACTCACCATCCCTTGGTTTTCAGGCAAGTAGATGAGTAATAAGAATGTGGCTGCTGTTACAGTAACATCTCTGTTACCTGGGAGGGTTTTGAATGGGGACAGCAGTTTGTTTGTTTAAAAAGGTTGCTTTACTTTATGTTCCACCATTATTTTGGAATTGTCCTGCAATGTAACTGTGAAGAGGCACTTTTGTATCCAACGCCCACCTCTGCAGTACAAGATGGAGTCATTTCCTCTGTGTTTTCCTTTAGGCAGATCGTGTCTGAATTATCAGGCTGAAGAGACCAAATCAAGCCTTTCAAAGACCCTTGAACAAGTCCTGCAGGACAGTGTAGCCCTCCCTTATTTCATCCAGTTCATGGAGCTGCGCAGGATGGAACACTTGGTGAAGTTCTGGTTAGAGGCCGAGAGCTTCCACTCCACGACGTGGTCCCGCATCCGCGCGCACAGCCTGAACACCGTGAAGCAGAGCTCCCTGGCAGAGCCAGTGTCACCCTCCAAGCAGCAGGAATTGGCATCATCTCCTCCAACTGAGTTGCTTGAGGAGAGACTGGAGGATTCTGGCCCAGCCCGGCTGCTCCGGGCCGAGCCCGCGGCATCGGGCAGGAAGGACAGAACTGGGAACAGCCAGAACCACGTGCTCCCGGGTCAGGAGTGTGGCAGTGCCAGTGTTCTTTGTCTAAGAAAGTCGGAGACAGGGACTCACTCTCTTCCAGCTGATCAGCAAGAATCTTCCAAGCTTTCAGTGTCAAATAGAAACAGCCCCTCCTCTGCACTAAAGGACTTGTCAGGAAAACTCATGAAAAGTAAGTGCGTTGAAAAGGTGGGAAATGGGGAGTGTGCAGGGAGCTGCCTCAGCTCTCATGTTCTTAGCAAGGATGGTGGGATGTTGGGAGGAAAAAAATTTTATGTATCAGTGATATTAACTTGCTGTATCAGCTGCTGGTCAGTTTGAACTGTGTATTCTTTGTCTCAATTAAAAGTAAATATACTGCTGAAGAGACTTCAAAATCATTATGTGCTCAATCAGCTTCGGTTGCTTCTGTTCTTACATCTGTAATTGTAAGAAATGAAGATGAACATTGCAATGTCCTGTTCTTCCCTCACCTGTCCCATCCCAACTTAAAAAAAATTGCGGAAAATTTGGATGAAGGGACTGAGAATTGATAATTAACTTTGCACGGAAGGTAAATATCCTGTATCACGTAAAATAACTTAAGTAATGATTACAAGAGGTTACAAGAGGTGTGTAGAGATCTGTGTGTGGAATGTACTGTTTTTGTTCTTGGATTTATTTGCTAGAGTTCCTCCCCTTGTAACTGATTTGTTGTAATTTGAATTCCACCTCTTCAGAGGCTACTGGAAGTAAGGATGAAATTAAAATATTTCCTTTTGGTAGTAAGCTACATGCACAGTAACCTGCTTCTCTACGTTGCATCCACTCAGTCCTCCCTCATTTGTGCAAGTTTACAGACAAAAAAGGAACATTTCTTTCTTCATATCAGTTCCTTTTGTTTGCCCAACTGTTTCCTCGTGTTGCATCCCTTTCTCTTTGTTTTGTCTTTCTCATTTAGTTCTTTATCATGTACCTCAAAGTCACTGAAACAAGGGAAATTATATTTTAGTCATGAAAAGCACCTCTGCCTTCTGATGCCTAAAAAGAATTTGAAAGCACTGGTCCTTCCTGAGAAATCTGAAAAACATTTTAGTGTAATTTTTTTCTCTCTTTCAGAGCAGAGTCCCAAGTCTCAAAAGATGATGTGTAAAGCACACAACTTGTTCTGAGGCATCCCATTTTAAGATTTTTTTTTTTTTTTCCTTGTAGTTCCTTTATTATTCCAGTGATTTCTTTGTGATGAGAGCTAGAAATTGGGAACTTCACTTGCCAGAAAGGTGCTGCTTCTGGGACTGAGGTGTGCAGCTGAGGAAGCAGGTGCTGCCTTGTCTGGTGGCAGGGAAAATTCAGAGCACGTTGCTTTACTCTGTTTTAGTCCATGCTGGGCTTTTTGTGGCCTGGCTGGAGATCACACAGCCACTGCAGCTTCTCAGCAGCAGAGTATCCAGCAGTGCACTGAAAGCTTCATTGGAGGGAACTTGTTGATGAGGAGGAGGCACTTGCTTTTCTGAAGAGCAGATGTTTGTTATTCACTCCCTGTTTCAGACCAAGGAATTCAGAGTTTGATTCTGTGTTTCTTCCTCGCAGGTATAGAACGGGATGCAGTTAGTACTTTTACCAAATATATTTCTCCAGATGCTGCTAAACCAATCCCTATTACAGAAGCAATGAGAAATGACATAGTTGGTAAGAATTAATGCTGGTTACCCATTTCAGAGCTGCTCCTTCCCTATAAAAGTGTATCTTTAATACCTCACACACTTGCATTTATTTTTATTTTTATGAATTTTAAAGTCAGTTGTAAAATGCTAGTGGATTACAAGTATCAGTGGGTCTGACCTTTCAGTAGTGATGTGCAATATCCCCAGAAGAAATTTCAGAGATTTTACTTAAATTAGGGAAAGAATTACTGGTGGTTATGGAGGGGATCCAAATTTGAGTCTCAATGGAACATTTTAGCCATAGTACTATCATTTGGCCACCCGCAGTACTTTAAAAGCTCTTTTTGCTCAGCCAGAACCAGTTGATTCTAGTGGATTTGAACTTCAGTTTTTCAGTCACTAGTCACAATTCCGTCAGCCAAATCCATATTAAAATTGCCCTGGTCTTTCTTTGCAGCAAAGATTTGTGGGGAAGATGGCCAAGTGGACCCCAACTGTTTTGTTACAGCACAGTCCATAGTGTTTAATGCAATGGAACAAGAGTAAGTTGGTGGAATGATTGGGATTCTCATGTCTCTTGTCCTTTTGCTAAAGGTTCTGTTAAAAGTGTTTATGGACACATTTTTCTGTGCAGCCTTCTGTATTTGCAGCTGCTCAGATCCCTCCCTCCAAACCCATTCTTGTGCTCACTGCTGCAGTTGGCTGTGCACGCTGTTGTCGTGTTCTCTGTCTCTTGTGTTGTCTGTAAACCTGCCCTGTTTCTTGCTTGTTCTGCTTTTATCCAGCTGAAAGTATCAGACTTCTGGGTGAGAGCTGGTTGGTTCTTAGGGTGCCCTGAATGCTGGTGACCCTCCATACCTAATTGTCCCTCTCTCTGTGCAGGCACTTTAGCGAGTTTTTACGAAGTCATCATTTCTGTAAATACCAGATCGAGGTGCTGACTAGTGG